CTGCTTCTCAGCTCCTAATTTTTGGTGCTCATATTACTATTTTTTCATGATTTATGAACTTAATATTTTGCATTGCAATCGTAATTCCATTTGGTTATATGCTCTGAATTCTACATTTAATTGGATTTATATTCCATTTTTAGTTTTTGTTGTTTTTTATCTATACTGTTGTAATTTCTACTTACATATTATTCTATTTTGTCATCTCTTTTTAGAAATTTTTGTGAAAAAATTTACTTAGGCTTTATCAATTATTCTCTACATATGACTCACTTATAGGGATTTGCTTTAATGCCCTCTATTTACCTCCAGTTGGATTTTTAAAATCTGTCTTAACTACCTTTTCAATCAATATTTATTTCTTCCTTTCTTTCCTTCTCCTCTTTTTCTCTCATTTTTATTTTCAAGAGAATGATATTTTTATTCTGCTTATGTGTAATGTAGACTGTTCTTCCAAGACCTTCTATTTACTCTGAAAGGTTATGGTTGAGTTTCTCTTGTCATCTATTCACAAAATTTTTGTCATTTTTTTCATTTAGTGTTCTCTGTGGGTGCTATAGTTTGAGGGCTGGATGTTGCTATCTATCTACTTTCTCATACCCTTGGAATGAGAGGATGGGGAAAGGAGAGATCGTGAAAGGTTAAGTGTAGCCTTTGATGGATGCTAGATTCTGATTCATCTTCTGAGATCTGATTAAATATCCTATACCAAAGCCCACTTGACTCATCCGGGTATGTAGTTCACTTTCCTAGCTGTAGTATATTTCATATCTTTGCCCTGCTGCTATTCAGTGCAAAACACTGCAAAATGGTAAACTTAATTACTGAGCACCTTTGGTGTTGGTTGGGGCTACACTTGTCAATAGATTTGCCTACAATTTTCCCTTGTCTATGTTCAGTACATTTTCCCCCATATTAGGGCATTAGTGTGACACATTTTTAAATTTTTTCTTTTTTTTTTTTTTAAGGAATGCTTCTAACAGGTTGGAGAGCTTTGAGAAGATACATTTCATAAATGATCATTTTATAATCCACCATTTCCCCCAC